GCTGCGTCGATCTTCAATCACGATGCAAGGAGCTCGAAGCGGAAGCGCGCAAGCTGCGCGAGCGCGAGCAGAGACAGCAACGACTCGAGGTGACCTCGCCTTCCATCCTTGTGTCTATGCTCTGTGCTTTGTCAAAGGAGACGCAAGTCACTGTTGTTCGAGACGTGCACTGTCACGTACCTGCATGGGCAAAGAAGGAGCTGCAGCGGCTCCATGTGGAACTGGTAGAAGAAAAGCGGCGCGGCGCGATCAGCTCCGTGTCGCGCTTCTTCTTTCATGAGGCGACAAAACTTACGGGCTTCGACGTGTGGAACGGGGCGATCGTTCGCAACGCCAGCGATGATGTAGCAGGCTACACCAATCTAGAAAACAAGGTCACCGAAGCTTGGAAACGCATGAAAGATGACGCGGAGATTCGCCGATGCAGATACTACGCTGAGGCTCTTCTTCGAAGGCTCGGAGAGCTACCGTCTTCGCGCGTTCCGACGGCCGTCGCACCTTTGCGAGTCGTGTCGTCTTCTTATGATCGGCAGGTCGGCGCGGACGCGCTTCCGAGCGCGACGAACGTTGGCCCACAGCGCGGCGACGCGAAGCTTCGAGCCCTCGAGTCGCAGCGGCGCGAGTACGAGGAGCGGCGCCTCGCCGAATCCGCCGCGCTCGAGCCGCCGTCCGCCGACGCGCCCGCGAGCGAGCCGCGAGCTGAGTCGTCGCGGAAGCGTCCGCGGGACGACGAGGGCCGCGACTCGCCGTCGCCGTCCGTCGGGGCCGCCGCGGCGCCCATGGAGGAGGACGCGGCGCCCGCCGTCGTGCTACCGGAAACCGTCGAGAACTCCGACGCGGCCCCGGCGCGCGACGCGGCCCCGGCGCGCGAGGCGAGCGCGGCGCCCACCGTCGAGGTGGCGCCCGCCGTCGACGCCGAGCCGGCGCCGCCGGCCGCCGAGCCCCGCGCGCCCGCCGCGGATTTAGAGGCGGCCGCGGAGACGCCGCCGCCGTCACCGCGTCCATGGAGCAGAGCGCGGAGACGAGCCCGCCGGCGCCGGTCGAGGACCGGGACGCGAAGAAGCAGCGCGTCGCCTCTCCCGAAGTCGCGCCGCCATCGTCGTCGCCGTCGAAGGACGCGGAGCGCGCCATGGCCCCGGCCGCGCTGAAGGTTGGCGACACGTTTGAAAAGCGATTCCAGGGCTATGGCGCGGGAGACGCGGGACTCTTCGAAGGGCTCGTCACGGAAATCTTCCCGGAGGAGCAGAAAGTGAGAATTCTGTGGAGCGATGGCAACTGCTCCGTCATGTCCACGGCCGCCGTGATGAAGCTGTTGGACTCCGGCGCGCCGTCGCCGGCGGACCCGCTGACGCGTTCGGACGCGAGCTCGTTTATCGGAAAGCCGTCGGGGCTCTTGGGCTCCTTTTGGGACGGCTGTGCTGACAATGATTTGGACTTCATGTACCCCGTCGTAGTCACGCAAGTCGAGGCTCGACGCGTCCACGGCCGACTCGCCGTCATGGTCGGCGTGCGGCTGACGCGCCGGAAGGACGCGAAGCACAACCCGCCGAGCGACGAACCGATTTGGATCGCGGAGAAGCTCTTCAAGGAATACCTCGCGGAGTTCCTCCGCCGCTCTCAGCCCCATTGAATATGAAGCCCTCCCCGTGGGAGGCAATGGATCCCGTCTCTGCCGCGCGGATAAAGCGGCGCCCCGCGCGCCCACTATCCGTAAAGAGACTCAGGATATGTTAGCACGGCCTTCGCAGAAGTAGCAGCCTAATGTGACTATCTACGTTCGTTTCGATCCATCTGAGGTGCGGACTAGGAATTCCTAGTCGTGTGCGCCTCGATCGCTGAACTCCTCTGCCGCAGAGAGAGCACGATTGAAGAGCGAGAGGCGGTCTGCGATCAACGCACAACAACGGGCCTTCCGCGCAAGTGCCGGGGACGGTTTCACGGGCCCCGTGGCAGACTGGGCGGGCCTCGAGTCGGCCCTCGACCAGTAAAACAGATGGATATCGGCGCCGACTGCCTCATCTGCAACGAGGCCGTGGAATTGGAGTCGAGCCCCTGCTGCGGCGGCCAGATCTGCGGTGACTGTGTGCGACGACACTGTGAGACCGCGCGAAAGCTCTTCGCGTGCCCGTTTTGTAAGACCAAGGACGAGGCGTTCTACTTGTTCGCGGCGTGCCTCGGCGCGGACCTCGACCTCACGACGCTGAAGGAGACGTGGAGCTCCGATTTGGCCGTCGCGCCGGAAGCTCGACGGTGCGCGCTCGGGAGCAGCGCCTGCGCCTGCCCGCGCGGCCCCTTGTTCGACTCGTCCGAAGTCATCCGCACGCGCGACGCGATCGCGTGGCCCTTGATCGATTGCCGGCTGTGCGGTCAGAGCTCCATCCACGTCGAGTGCAACGGCGGCGAGTCCTACGTCTGCGCTCCGTGCCTGGGCGACGACGGTCCTCCCGCTCGAGCCGAGCCGCCGCAGTCGGCGGCTCCGCGCCCCGCGCCCGCGTCGCCGCGCGTCGCCGCGCGCGCCGTCGACTCCGCGGACGTCGATTCCGGAGGCCCGCTCTTCGAGGGCGACGCCATCGAGGCGCGCTGCCGCGGCGGGCCCTGGTACCCGGGCCGCGTCGCCTTCGTGCACGCGAGCGGCGCGATCGACGTGAGCTACGACGACGGCGACGAGGAGACGCGCGTGAAACGATCCTTCGTGCGGCCGCTCGCCCGGCGGCGCGCCGCCGTGCGCTCCGGCCTCGCCGGGGTGAGCACCGCGGTGATGTCGCCGGGCACGAAGATCAGCGTGTATTGGGACGGCGACGACGCCTTCTACGCGGGCACGGTGACGAGCCAGAGCCGCGAGACGGGCAAGGTCAAGATCTCCTACGTCGACCAGACCTCCGAGTGGCTCCAACTCGCGGCCAAGCCCCTCGCGCCCGGCGAGACCGGCCGCGACTTTATCCGGCTGGGCGGGCGCGGCGCCCCCTACCTCGTGCTCCGCGACGACGACGGCGAAGCGGCGGGCGCGCCGGCGGAGCCCGCGGAGCCGCGCGCGTCCGCGTCGCGCGCGCCGGGGCCCGCGACCGCTACGCCCGAGCCGCCCGCGGGCACGCGGCGGTCGACGCGCGTGCCGATCCCGTTTGGAAGCCTGGACATGGCCGAGTATGCGAAGTCGACGCAGTCCGTGTACTCCGCGGACTACGCTGCGGCCGCGCCGGCGCCGGTTCTGGAGCCGTTTCCATGCATCAATTGTCGCCGCACCTTTGTTACTGCCCTTGGACTTCGGCAGCACCAGATCCACCCAAATAACTCCGCATGCCGTGAAGCTGCGGACCTCCCGGCGAAGACTCGCAAAGACTCTCCCGCTCCGACCGAGCAACGTATCGAGCTCGTTCAGGTCACGTCGCCGCGGCCGGTTGACGGGAGCGTCGTCGTGGCTGACGAGGAAGACGACGAAGCCGCCGTCCCGCGGCCGTTCATGTGGGTCATCGACGCGGAGCAGGCCGCGGCGCCTCTCGCCCTCGCGGCGCCTCCCGGTCCGCGGCCCGTCGAAGAGAGCGTCGTCGCGACTGAAAACGACGACGACGAGGCCTCCGTCCCGCGGCCGTTCGTGTGGGTCATCGACGCGATAGACGCGAAGCGGATGCAGAAGCGGCCCGCGCCGGCGGCGGGCGTCCGGGCCTTTGGCTCGCCAGACGCCCCGGCCTCGTCCTTCGAGGTCTCGCGCGAGGCGCTCGCGCCCAAGGCCTTTTCGCTCGACGACGGCGCCAGGGCCAAGTGGGCCGCGGACGCGCCCGAGGTCGAGCCGAGGCCGGTCCTCTACGGCCCCTGGCCGCGCGGGGTCTCGTCGCCGCCGCGCCAGCCGAGTGCGGCGGCCGAGTGCGACGCCGCGCCGTCGTTGGCGACCTACGAGGGCTCGCGCCCGGACCACGTCTTCTGCACCCGCGACGGCCGCACGGGCTACCACGTCGACCACGCGGGCATCGCCGCGGCGCGGCGGCCGAGGAGCTGGTACGTGGGCGTCGCGCACAAATCCAGCCTTGTCAATCCTTGGACTGCATGTTGCAATAGCGGTGGTGTATATGAGTGGTGCGGCGCTCACGCGACGGAGGAGGAAGCCGCGCGGGCGTACGACGCGGCCGCGCGGAAGCGCGGCCGACCGGTCAATTTCCCCGAGGAGGGAGAGTCTCAGGCCCGGAGGAAACTGAGACGCCCGAATCGCGAGGCGGCGGTCGAGCCGAACCGGCTGCCCGCGGTCGAGCCGAGGCCGGTCCTCTACGGCCCCTGGCCGCGCGGGGTCTCGTCGCCGCCGCACCAGCCGAGTGCGACAGCCGAGTGCGACGCCGCGCCGTCGTTGGCGACCTACGAGGGCTCGCGCCCGGACCACGTCTTCTGCACCCGCGACGGCCGCACGGGCTATCACGTCGACCACGCGGGCATCGCCGCAGCCGCCTACGGCCCCTGGCCGCGCGGGGTCTCGTCGCCGCCGCGCCAGCCGAGTGCGGCGGCCGAGTGCGACGCCGCGCCGTCGTTGGCGACCTACGAGGGTTCGCGCCCGGACCACGTCTTCTGCACCCGCGACGGCCGCACGGGCTACCACGTCGACCACGCGGGCATCGCCGCGGCGCGGTGGCCGAGGAGCCGGTACGTGGGCGTCGCGCACAAATCCGGCCTTGTCAATCCTTGGACTGCATCGATTGGTTGTGAGAGCACAAGAGAGTGGTGCGGCGCTCACGCGACGGAGGAGGAAGCCGCGCGGGCGTACGACGCGGCCGCGCGGAAGCGCGGCCGACCGGTCAATTTCCCCGAGGAGGGAGAGTCTCAGGCCCGGAGGACACTGAGACGCCCGCCCCGCGAGCGGGAGTAGGATTAGAGCCATTGGGAGTTCAACACATATATCCACCCCCTAGCGCGTCCTACCACCGCGCCGCGCCGTCGGCGAAGTTCTCCGTCCACGCGACGAACTGGCCCTGGTCCGCGACGTGCCGCGCGTGGCGGTCGTGCTTGCGGAGCGTGCCGTACCAGAGGTTCTTGACCTGGTTGTCCGTGCGCCCGGGGAGCAGCTTCGCGATCTGGCTCCACTTGTTGCCCAGGCGCATCTGCGCGTCGCGGATGATCTCGCGCTCGGCGTCGGTCCACGCGACGCGCGAGATCGCCGGGTCCAAGTACTCGATCCAGCGCGTGCGGATCTGCTTCCCCGTGCGCGCGTCGTCCTCGGAGAGGCCCGCGTTGAACTCCGTCGCGACGTTGGCCCAGCGCTGCGTGCCGCCCTGGGCCTCGACGATGCGCTTGATCTTGTCGTCCTCCTCCCGGCTCCAGACGCGCCGCGACTTCGACGGCGCCGCCTGCGTCCGCCGTTGGGGCGGCTCCGCCGGGACGAAATTCTCCGCGGAGAGCACGGCGAGGAGGTCCTGGACGCCGGCCGCCGCCGTTGCGGGTGCCGGGACGCCGGCCGCGGCTCTTTCGGTCGGCGAGGAGCCGGACTCGGCACTTTCGGGTCCCTCGTCCTCCGACTCGCTCTCGTCGCTCCGCTCGCGCTTTCGCGTCGCTCCGATCGCCTCCCACGTCGTCTCTTCCGTGCGGAGGGGCGGCGCGGGCGGCGCGGGCACCGCGACCGCGACGAGCGAGGCGTCCATCGCGTTCGGCTCTCGAGGCTCGAGGCGCCGACGGTCTCACCACAGCGCGCGATCCGTCTGGCGAGCGCTGACGCTGTCCGGACGTCCATCGCGAGCCTCGTCGAGCTCAACAACCACCGCGCCGCAGCGCTGCCGCCAGCGTCGCGCGCATCGCATCGCGCATTCATCAATTGCTCGCTGCGCGCCGCATCGCTGCACCGCGCTTGCACGCGCGCACGCGTTGCACGCCATGGGCCTCTTCAGCACGCCGCGCGCGACGATGGCGACGATGGGCGGCCTGGGCCTCGTGCTGCTGCTCGTCGTGCTGTCCTGGGCGCGATCGCCCTACGGCGCGCGCTGGTGGGACGGCCTCGGCGGCCCGCGGCGCGGCTTCGGCGTCGTCGGGCCGCATTTCCAGCCTCCGGACGCGTCGTTCTGGGGCGCCGACGCGGCGGCGCCGTACCCGACGGGCGCGTACTGGCTGAACGCGGCGCTCGGGTCGCAGCCCGTGCCCGTGGCGCCGTACCAGGTCGCCGCGCTGCCGCAGGGCTTCCAGCTCTCCTACAGCGCGCGGCGCCGCGTCGCGACGCTCGAAGCGCAGGTCGACCCCTTTGGCGTCGACTGGTTCGGCCTGCCCATGGGCGGCGGGGACGGCGCGGAAGACGCCGCGGAGCGCGGCACGGCGCTCGTCGTCGCGCAGCAGGAGGCCGGCGGCGGCGGCTACATCGCCGCGGGCGACGCGCTCGTCGGCCAGGGCTCGCTCTTCAACTACACGCTCGAGCGGCGGTCGCACCTCGGCGCGACGCTCCAGTACGGCGGCGCCCTAGGCGTCGTCCTCTGCAAGGGGTCGCCCCTCGTCGCCGTCGAAATCGCGGCCGCCCAGGCCGTCTTCCTCGCGCCGGGCGGCGCCACCGGCGGCCGCGTCGAAAGCCTCGAGGCCAAGGGCGGCGGCCTGCACAACGCGACGCTGACCGACGGGTCGTCCTGGGCCATCGCGCTCCTCGGCGACGCCTGCGACGTGGCCTCGACGTCCAAGGGCGTCGCCGTCGCCGCGGGCGACGGCGGCTGCGTCGCGCGCGTCGGCTTCCTCCACGCGGACGCGGACTGGGAATCCGTCGCGCGCGCGGCGAAAGCGTACGCCGTCGGCGGCGAGCCGGCCTTCGACCCGTCCAAACCGGGCCGCTACGAGCTCCGCTGGGACAGGCGCGGCGACGGCGACCTCTACATGCTCGGCGCGCCGCACCACGTCGCCACGCTCGCGGGCGGCGCGGCGCTCGCCGGCCCGTCGGGCCTCGTCGGCGCCAAGGGCGAGCTCGCCTGGGTCGCGGGCGACGTCTGGGTCCTCGAGGAGGCGCTCCCGGACGTCGCCATAGCCTACGGCGGCGACCCCTTCCGGCCCCGGGACGCGGAGGCCGTCGTCGCGCAGGCGCGGCGCGACGTCGCGCGGCTCGGCGCGTCGCCGTCGGCGCCCGCGCGACCGGGCTCCTACGGCGAGCTCTACTTCGAGGGCAAGGAGCTCGGGCGGCTCGCGCGGCTCGCCGTCGTCTGCGGCGACGCCGGCGACGACACGTGCCGCGACGTCGCCGTCGCGAATTTGGAGCGCCGCTTCTCCGCGTGGCTCCGCCGCGGCGACACGGTGGCCGTGGACCCGACCTGGGGCGGCGTCGTGAGCCGTGCGGGCTACCCGCTCAAATCCGGCGTCGCGGGCGCGACGGGCCAGCCCTTCGCGAACTACGGCAACGCGCTCTACAGCGACCACCACTTCCAGTTCGGCTACTTCGCCTACGCCGCGGCCGTGCTCGCGCACTTTGGGCGCGGCGACTTCGTCGACGCCTGGCGGGCCCGCCTCTTCGAGCTCGTCTTCGACTTCGCGAACCCGCCGGCGGCCTACGGCGGCGGCGACGCGCGGTTCCCGCGGCACGGCCGCCACAAGGACTGGTACGACGGCCACTCCTGGGCGACGGGGCTCGTGGCCTACGCGACGGGCAAGTCCCAGGAGAGCTCCTCGGAGAGCGCCCACGCCTACCTCGCCGTCGCGCTCCTCGGCGAGGCGACGGGCGATGTGGCGCTCCGCGACTGGGGCCGGCTCTGCTTCGCGACGGAGGTCCGCGGCGCCAAGACCTACTGGCAGATGGGCGCGGACAGCGACGTCTACGCGCCGGCCTTCGCCGCGAACCGCATGGCGGGCTCCGTCGCGGGCACGGCGGCCATCGCGACGACGTGGTTCGGGTCCAACCCGGAGTACGTCCACGGCATCAACCTGATTCCCGTGCTCGTGGGGTTGACGGACGTCGTCATGGACGAGGCCTACGCCTGCGACGAGCTGCCCGTGCTCGAGGCGGCCCTCGACCGCAAGAAGCCCTACCCGCCCGTCGAGAGCAGCTGGCGCGGCTTCGCGTACGCGGACCTCGCGCTCGTCGACCCGGACGAGGCCTGGGCCAAGGCCGCGACGCTCGACGAGGCCAAGTTCGACGACGGCGCGACGAAGGCGAACCTCCTCCACTGGATCGCGTCGCGCCGCGCGGCCAAAGCCGGCGGCTCCTGCGCGCTCGCGACGACGAACGTGACGAGCCTGCCCTGGAACGCGTCCGAGGTCGCGGACGTGTCCTGCGACGGCAACCTCGCCTGCTTCGCGCTGGGCCTCTCCGGCTTCTGCTGCCCGCAGAAGGACGGCTACATGTTCGGCTGCTGCCCGGTCCTCAAGGCCGTGCCCGAGAGCCTCGCATAGGAGTAATCAAGTCGGTCGTGATTGGTTGAGCGCTCCTTGAACTTCATCTTGAGTCAGTTTTCATTTTTCAGCCTCCTCGAGTCGCCGCGCACCTCGACGGACATCGGCACAGCAGCTCCGCAGCGCAATCGGCACAGCAGCTCCGCAGCGCATTTCTTCACAGCAAGCATTGGCTCCAATTGATCCCTATCATACGGCAATATGGCTTCCGCAAAACTACCGCTCGTGAGCTGCGCCTTCGACGGCGGCAACATCGTGCAAAAGGGCGTGCTCCCGTTGGATGGGGGTGCGGTGCAGCTGCGCCTCGCCATCAAGCCCGATGTCTATACAAATGGCACGGACAAGACGGCGCACGCGCAGTGGTTCTACTTCAAGGTGTCGCGCTGCAAGGGCGTGCCGCTGCGCGTCGCCATCGAGGACATCGAGGCCGTCTGCAGCTACCCGGACGGGTTCAAGGGCTACACGACCGCGTGCTCCTACGACCGCAGGCGCTGGTTCCGCGCGAGGAACGCGACCTACGTGACGGGCGAGGCCCACGCGGCGGCGCCGCACCTCACGCGCCACGACTCCTTCACGGAGGTCGACGACGACGCCGCTACCGTAGCAGGCGACGCGTCGTTCCTGCCGCTCGCGCGCTACAACTCGGACGCGCGGACCTTCGCCAAGCCGCCGCTGCCGCCCGTGCCCGAGGTCGCCGTCACCGCGGACGTCGACGGGTCGCGCGGCGTCCTGCAGTGGTCGCTGACGCCCGAGTACGACACGGTCTACTTCGCGTACTGGACGCCCTACTCGCTCGAGCGCCACGCGGACGTCGTCGCGGAGCTGGCGACGTCGCCGCTCTGCGAGGCCTGGTCCCTCGGGCAGAGCCTCGACGGGCGCGATCTGGACGTGCTCACCTTTGGGACCGGGCCGCTCCAGCTCTGGGTCGCCGCGCGGCAGCACCCGGGCGAGACGATGGCGGAGTGGGCCGCCGAGGGCTGCGCGCGCAAGCTCGCGGACGCCGACGACCCCAAGGCGCGGGCCAGCGTCCTGCGGCCGGAGCGATTTTTGAGAGCGTTTGACCTGGAAAACGACGAACAATCGTCACCGTCATGCTTGGTAGGCGCGGGCGCTCCGCGCCGCGGCCACGGTCCACGTCGTGCCGAACATGTGCCCCGACGGCTCCTTCCGGGGGCACCTCCGGACGAACGCGTCCGGCGCGAACCTCAACCGCGAGTGGGCGTCGGGCGTCTACGGCGACTACGAGGCGCCGACGCTCGCGCGCTCGCCGGAGGTCTACCACATGCTCAAGCACCTCGACGCGCGCGGCTGCGACGGCTACGTCGACATCCACGGCGACGAGGAGATCGAGGCCAACTTCACCGCGGGCGCCGAGGGCTGCCCCTGCTACGACGCGGCCATGGCGGCCCACTACGAGGGCTTCTGCCACCACTTCTGCAAGGCGACGCCCGACTTCCAGCACGCGCCGGGCGTCGAGGGCCGCGGCTACGAGCCCACGCCGCCCGGCGAGGCCAACCTCAGCGTGTGCACGAACGCCATCGCGACGCGCTACGGCTGCCTCGCCGTGACGCTCGAGCAGCCCTTCAAGGACTCGACGTTCCACACGCCGGAGCCCGTCTGCGGCTGGAGCGGGCCCCGGGCCCTCAAGCTCGGCGCCGCGCTCGTCGACGCGCTCCTCGACACGGTCCCCGCGATCGCCGCGCGCAAGAAAAAAGGCGCGGGCCCGCTCCAGCCGGGCGTCGCGCCGCTCTAGGGGGGCGGCGCTTAAGCCGCACCGAAGGACGCCGCGCGCGTCGCAAGTGTCGTCGCGCACGGCGTCGGCGGGCAAACTTTAGCCGCAACGGACCTTCGCCAGGGCAAGATGCCAGGGCAAGGGGATCTTCATGAAGATCCCCTTGGCCAGGGCCTGCTTCTCAGCTTGCACTTGCCAGCCAGCACCGTCCCTACTTGAGGAGAGCATGGCGGCGTCGTTCGCGCCGCTGACGGTGCCCGTCGGCGGGCTGTCCTGCGAGGGCTGCGTGCGGTCGGCGCGGAGTGCGATCCTCGGCGTCGAGGGCGTCGTCTGGTGCGAGGGCCCCGACCTGGCGAAGCCCGTCGCGCTCGTCCACGCCACGCGGTCCGTCGGCCACGAGGAGGTGGCGCTCGCCCTCGAGTCCGTCGGGCTCAGCGCGCACCCCGAGGGCCGGGAGACGCTGGCGTCGCTCCTCGAGGCGCTGGCGCGTTGTAAGTCGATGACGCGGTACCGCTGCGGCTGCGGCTCGAGCGACTGCCTCTGCTCCGCGCAGCAGGTCTGGGACGGCGACGGCGGCGTCGAGGTCACGCTCGAGGCCCTGCTCGCCAAGCTCGAGGCCGAGAACCCCTTCGCCGTCGCCGAGGGCGCGGCCCGGGCGCTCCGCGAGGGCGGCGCGGCCGCGGCGGCGGC